CATATATATATATATATATACATATGGAGATGAAGTATTACTTTGTTTAAATTGTTGTTTTATATAGACCACAGAGTCTATATATTATCTATTAAATTTAAATGCCGTGCTGACCAATCAGAATGCAGTGTGTAATAAATTAGAATACCATACCACACATACTAAATTCGACCAATCAAATCTGTTTTTACGTGAGATGTGTAATACATTTGAATAGCACACATAATAGCTTCTACCAATCACATCTGTTTTGATTTCTGTGTAATGAAGTTCTGTACACAAGCAAGCAATAGCTTTGAGAGTCAAGAGCAATGAGTTTAATTTCAGATGTTCATTGCAGGATGGACTGGCACAAACGAGCGCACGTTCATCGCAGTGAAGCCAGACGGAGTTCAGCGCAGACTGGTGGGTGAAATCATCCTCCGCTTTGAACGCAAGGGTTTCAAACTGGTCGGCATGAAGCTCCTGCAGGTGAGAGCACCACTGGAGCATCTTTCACATAATATTCACCTGGAGAATATATCATCTGTATTAATATAAATGAGTGTTTACGCCTGTAGGCATCAGAGGAGCAGCTCAGACAGCACTACAGGGACCTGAGGGAGAAGCCATTCTACGGTGGCTTGATCAAATACATGAGCTCTGGACCCATTGTTGCAATGGCAAGGAACACAGTGCCTCCATATTGGTCCCAAATATGAGTTCTGTAATTATGCCTCATCTAAAGACTTGTAATGCTATGTCACACTTACGTGTGTCTATCTGCATATGTTTTAATTAGGTATGGCAAGGGCTGGATGTGGTAAAGGCTGCCAGAAAGATGCTTGGAGAGACAAATCCAGCAGACTCTCTCCCTGGCACTATCAGAGGAGACTATTGCATTGAAGTGAGCAGGTTAGTTTGTGTTTTAAACAGTATTTATTTAGATGGACTGTAAAAATTGTGTTTTGAAGTTGAAAATTAAACAAACAAACAAAAAAGTTTATTGAAGAAAATACGTAGTCTTTCTACTTAAAAATGTCATGTTAAATTCAATGTTACTTGCCATTTTTTTGTGAAATTTGTTAAATTATTAGCACTAGAAAATAGTTTTAAAGTAAACATTTTTCCAGTGTTTATAGATTTGCAGTATTTTTCATTGACTCGTCTGTGTTGCATGAATTCATCTATGGTTGTATTAACATGAATGCTTGTTAAATAGTTTTTTCTTGTTGGCAGGAATGTGATTCACGGCAGTGATTCAGTTGAAAGTGCTCAGAGAGAGATCTCACTGTGGTTCAATCATCATGAGTTGTTCTGCTGGGAAGAATGCAATGAGCACTGGATCTATGCTTGAAACCCACATGTAACACTCACACACTCATCGTAACATAGCTTCTGCAGCTTCATCTGCTCCTCTCAAGAGAAAACTCTGCTCATGCCATTAAGTGACCCAAAAAAAAGGAAAAGCTAGCTCGTGTTGTCAAGGTAACCTGCATTTGTCCCTGATATCCAGTTATTGGTCATGCTATATTGAATGTAATGTTTTTTTTACTGCTTTCTTTGTAAATGTTTAATCTTCACAGATATTCACTTCATTACTAATCTTTGGTAGGTTGGTAAGCCATGCATTACTCTAAGATGTTTTACTTGAGGTATTTACATCCAATCAAAAGATGTTGTTTACATTTTTACCTCCAGCTTTTGACATGGATATGCTCTTTGTCATTTTTATGAACTCTGTAAAAAAAATACATGTATCCTGTATGACACTACTGATGCACCGAATGTTTGGCAACCGAAATTATTCGGCAGAACACCGACAGAGCTTTTTTTGCTATTGCATAGCAAAATGTACTTCTAAATTATGATAAAATTAATAACAATTACAAAATGTAATAAAACATTATTGTATACATTATATCATGCATTGACTATTATTATTATTATTTTTAATAGGGATGCACCGAATGTTCGGCAACCGAAATTATTCGGCCTAAAACAGCAAAAAAAGCTCTTTCGGTATTCGGCCGAATAAGCGAAAAGACTGAATAAATTGTACCGAACAATGACATGACGCGATCAAATAGCAACCAGCGCAGAGTGAGAGGAGCACACTCTTTATTATGCTGCACACATGTCAGCAGTGTGGAAGCATTTAAACTGTCGGAGAAAGACGCAAAAATTACAAGCACCGACAGCAAGAGACTGTTTAGGACTGCATCGCATCTCTTCGATGAGAAGGGGCAGGGGCGATTCTAGGATTTTCATTTTAGGGGGGCTCAGCCCCCAATGAGGGTGTAATATATATATATATATATATATATATATATAATGTTTGACTAATATCTACAACCGATTGATATTTTGTAAACTGTATTTATGATAGCCCTATAGCCCCCCTAAAAATGGCCTAGCGACGCCCATGGGAAGGGGTGATTGTTGCTGGTTACTGTATGATGATTGAAATCGCGAAATGGCCTTAAACAATTAGTAAATAAACTGCAGAACGTTATGTTTTCTAATACACGAGCGCATTGCATGTATTCTGACAGCGCTGAATATCTGTTCCTTAGCCAGGGTTCGAAGTCCAAAGCGCGAGGAAAATCTGCGCTGATACAGTCGTCAGTTGCTCAGTCACATTTTTATCCAGGGTTCAAAGTCCAAAGCGCGAGGAAAATCTGCGCTGATACAGTCGTCCTTTGCTCAGTCACATTTTTATGAATTTTTACAATGCATGTGACAATGCGATACGTACGACGTATTCGTAATGAGACTCAACATCTGTTGTCAACAAAAATAAGCATTGAGGTCTTCCTGCGCGTTTCCGCCAAAATAAAAGTTGAGAAAAAGCAAAAAATCTTAGCAACATTCATAAATGTTAGTATTGTAATTTTACTGTTGTTCTGTAAAATAAAATAAAAAGTAAGACAATAACAATGATAATAATCATTACAACAGCTCTGTTTTAATACATTTATTATAACATTCACACATAGTGTTCAAATTAGGATCTAATATTCGCTAATGTTTTAAAAGAAGTCTCTTCTCAGCAAGGCTGCTTTTAATTGTACAGTAAAAAAACACACAAAAAAAACATGCCTGGTTCAAGAAGGGGGTCTGATGGCCAAAAATTATTATTTTACTAACTTATTAATTTTAAGTTAAATTGTGCTTTGTTGGTATAGTGTCTGCTAGAATGTTAAAAATGTTCAGTGTTAAATATTTTTAAATTGTTGTTTTGTAATTGATTTTTTTTTTTTTTTGAAAAGCAAGACAAAACAGTAAAAAGCACATTTTGGCTTTTTAATTTATGCAATGGTGAAAAATAAATTGGCAAAATACATGGGAGGAAAAAACTCGAAAAACCGTGTTCGGTATTCGGCCTTCGGCCTTCGGCCCAGTGTTTAATTTTGTTCGGTTTCGGCCAAGAATTTTCATTTCGGTGCATCCCTATTAATCGTGCCTCAAAAGGAAAGCAATAATGAATGACAAAGGTTCTGAAAAACTGACTTGAATATCCCAGTAATACTTTGTCTTACTCTAGTGCTTGGAACTCAGTTGACCAAAGGGCACCTTACTTTACAAATATTATTCCTTTGTTCATTATTTTGTGTAGACTATTATAAAAATTTGGGTTTGCTAAGTTTTTTTAATTGTTTGCAAAAAGTATGTCTTATGCTTATTAAGGCTGATTTTATTTGATCAAATATACAGTAAAAATAGTAACATTGTGAAATATTACAATTTAAAGTGTTTTTTATTTTAATATATTATATAAAAAGGTATTCCTTTGTTATTGTTTAGAATTATTTATAATTGATTTTCTGCTCAAGAAACATTTCTTATGTTGAAAACTGTTTTTGCTGTTTAATGTTTTGTGTGAAAACCAAGATTTTTTTCAGGATTCTTTGATAAATATAAAGTTCAAAAGAACAGCGTTTATTTGAAATAGAAATCTTTTGTAATAAATGGCTTTCACTTTAGCTCAATATTGATCAATGCGTCCTTGAATAAAGGTATTATTTTCCTTCAAGGAAAAAAAAAAATGTTGGTAGTGTATTTTCCATTAAATATTTAGTGTATAAAGTTTTTGCTCTTTTTGCTACTGTTGAGAGACTGACAAACACCCCAAGTCAGATTGCCAGTGAAATGCTCTCCGACGGCAAATGCAATGAGTTTGCTTCCTTCTTTTCGGAGAAGATCAATAATATCAGGAAGGCGATTAGCACATCCCCAAATTATGCAGAGGTCAGACAGATTCGACCACAATACCAAAAAGAAGATACTATGTCTGCTTTTGAAGAAATTGATAGCAAAATTTTGGAAGAAATAGTACAGCACCTTAAATCGTCAACCTGGCTGCTAGCTTGACACACTTCCCACATACTTTTTCAAAAGGGTGCTTAACTGTTTGGAAGCAGATCTCTTAGAAGTGGTGAACGCCTCACTTCTTTCTGGGACGTTTCCAAACTCCCTGAAAACTGCAGTTGTTAAACCCCTTCTGAAAAAGAGCAATCTTGATAACACCATATTGAGCAACTATAGACCAATATCAAATCTTCCTTTTATAGGCAAGATTATTGAAAAGGTAGTCTTTAATCAGCTGAACAAATACTTAAACTCAAATGGATACCTGGACAATTTTCAATCTGGTTTCCGACCGCATCACAGCACAGAGACAGCGCTCATTAAGATAATAAATGATATTCGCTTAAATTCTGAATCTGGCAAAATATCAGTGCTGGTACTACTAGATCTCAGTGCTGCGTTTGACATGGTCGATCATAACATACTTCTAGAGAGACTGGAAAACTGGGTCGGGCTTTCTGGGATGGTAATCAAATGGTTCAGGTCATACTTAGATACCAAGGGTTCACACAAAACAAGGGGAGTCCGCAGTTGGAATCAGCTTCCAGAAGAGATCAGATGTGCTAAAACAGTCACATTTAAATGCAGACTCAAAACTCATCTGTTTAGCTGTGCATTTACTGAATGAACACTGTGCAATGTCCGAACTGATTGCACTATATTTTATGTATAATCATTTTCTATTCTTAACTGTTTTAAATTCATTTTAAACCTCTTAAATCAATTTTTAAATCATTTTCAAAGTTTTAAATTCCTTGTTTTATTGTTGTGATAATTTTTTAAAAAAATTTTTTCATTTCTTTTATGTAAAGCACTTTGAATTACCATTGTGTATGAAATGTGCTATATAAATAAACTTGCCTTGCCTTACCTTGCCTTTCCTATAAAGTGTAAATGTGTGTAACGTATTGCTCTACCTACTAATTCAAGGAAAATACCATTAAGTTATGATAGCATTTCTACAAATTATGGCGCTGAAGACAGATGTATTCAGCACATAAACATGTTTATTTCTTAATACTTAACCACACAGAGAACACAGAGTGATGATTTACATACAAAGCGACTGGGACGACCATCTCTTCCAAACCTCGTCCAATCAAATGCTTCGGTTTAGCTGTTAACCTCATTCTTAATCCCAAAGGGAAATTAGCAGTGCTAGTCAGCACACATCTCACTGAGGTTGAAAAATGGGTAGCTGCAAATGGTTGAAGTGATTTTGAGCTTTTTAAATCAGTTTTGTTGAATATTCTTTAACATATTTACTTAATAATGAGCTGAAATGGCATTGGGACATATTTGGATTGTGTTAGCTAGCCAACAAATCCTGACCACTTATTTGATTATCCTCAAGTATTCACTCGTATTTCTCTCTGCAGTCCATGATGCTTTCCAGTATTTACATATTGAGGTTTTGTTTGCATTTTCCCTCTTGTATTCCATTACACATCTAGCTGGTTCTTCCAAAATGAATCCTCTCATCTCTGAAGTCACTTGAGTTCATGATGAGTTCCTGTCATTCAGTGAGCTGTGTGCTGACGGACTGTAAAAATAAAGGTCAGGGTTTTTGGCAAAAACTGGGTAGTTCTTTCAGGAACGTAGTTTGGTACTGGATTTAAACTCTTTATATTTCATTTAAAATTGCCATTCAGTCATAAGATGCAGGAAGTTCTTGAACTTTGTGTGTTTTTGTTGGGAAGGGAATGTTATAAGGTGGATTGAAGGATCGTACAGGTAGTTATAATTGAGGGTAGGAAAATACAGGCTAACGGGGTGAATATAAGACTTTAAAGGGGTAGTTACAAGGCTGTGGAAGGTACATAGCTTAGGTACACAATTCGGCGCATAGTTACAGAAAGGATTCATACTTCGTCTTTGGGGGCGGACTTATAGGGCGGAAAGGGGGACAGGCAGGAGGCGTCTGTTCATGTCACTCCGGACCATAAGACACCTGCCAGACGATGATATGACTCCTCTCTGCTTTAGACAACGCTGGCTTCATCTGAGGAGCTTCACCATCTGCTTCCTCTGTCTCATCTTCCCCATCACCTGAGAAAAGAGAATGAGTAAATGCTATTAATGC